ATCAAGTGATGGAAATGAATGTCTTCAGATTAACAAAAATGTTAAGTAAAGTATATTTTTGTAGCTACCCTGGTAATTCTCTTGAGTTTTGGGCAAAATGGGATCTAAAAACAGTTATTGGTGGCACTTGGAGAGAGAATTTTAATGCACAGATCAAAAATTGTGCTTGTGGAGCTTGGCTACAGAGTCATTTGTAGTATAAATAGTGCACTAGCAGCAGCTAGCCAGTCTGACCTGAGCAAAAATATACCAATAAATAATGTCTAAACTGGCATAGAAAATTTGCTGAAGGAAACAGACAAGAATTTCCCCATTGCTATCTAGTAGTACAGTTCCTTTGATAAAAAACGTTTTATATCTGATTGCCTTTGTTCCTGTTCACTGTAGCTCTTGATTCACATTTCTTTGCAAATTTAGAGAAGGCTGCCCTCTCAAATTTATTATAAAAAAGAGAGATGGAATACATTGCTAATCCCTAGTATATCTATCTCTCTCTTTGAAGATTTTCCATTTATACCTGTTTCCTGCTGTTTTGCCTGTTATCAGTCTCATTCCAGTTTTCCTCTCATTTCATGGTTCTGCACCCTAGATGTTAACCTTTGATGTGGAACTTTTCAAAATGCTTTGTAAAATCTAAGATTACATAACAGTGGCTGCTGTAACTGGCATTGATGTCATCTGAGGATTCCATCATTTTAAGTGAGGATTTCCCCTTCCTGAAATCACTTTGCCTGTTCTGAATCAAGATGTGCTTAACAAGCTATAAAATCAGTGTCTCTGGTTTTCTCTTACTGCATGGCTCTTGAATTGAGAATTTGTTGTGGAATTCTGTGTTAAGTGCCCATAGACTCTATGGTAGTTGAGTACTAGTAGAAATAAATATAAAAATGGCATAAATTAATATAAAAATTTGTACCAAATCAGCATGAATGTGGCTACGATTTTAGATCTGTGATTTTCTACTTTTGCATCCAGGTGCATGTGAATATAACATGTAACATTAGAATGTAACAAATTGTGCACCTCCTCCTTTGCTATTTAGACTAATGCTGAAAGCAAAAGTGTACAAAGATTTCCCCCAGGCAAAAAGGTTGGACTGCTTTTTAAGCGCTCTTAAAGAACACATAGTATTAGAATATAACACATGCACCTTTTTATCTCCACAAAAATAGCTGCACTGTGCCTGTTCTGGGACACCTCATGGCAATGTTTTACTTCTGCAAGCAGAGGTCACTCTCTCCTAGCCACTTTGTGAGGAAGCGATAGCCCTCTTTGAACTAGTGGCTGGTTAATAGACTGTATCTGGCAAACAGTGTTGATGGCAAGGGAATTTGAGTTGCGGACCATAAGATGAGCATGAATGATCTCTGAAGCAGTCAGAAGTGGACTGCTCCTCAGAAGATGGTGCTGATCTTCTCTAGGTCTCTGCCTTAAGCAGCAGTGCAAAATGTCCTCAGTTGAGCTTCCCTGTCCTAGAGCACAAATGCAGTAACAGATGTGTTCTTGTTGGACTGGTGCAGAGATCTCTCTGCATTTCCCGGAATTCCATTATTTCTGCTGGCAATCAGGAAGATCACATGGGACATGGTCCCTGAGATGACTCCAAATTGGGGCCAATCAGTATGGACAGATGGCTCTCCTGAATCTCTCAAGGGTGTCTCCATGTAAGATACCAGTGTTTCCAGATCTCCTGTCTCAGGAACACACTTGTTCCACTTCACAACTTTTAATTACCTCATCTCTCATGACACTAATGTCTGACTTTTGGCAAGCTTGTGAAGTATTTTGCTGAAGTCCAAGAAAGTTTCCACACTGAAATGCCAGAAATATGAAAAAAAAATTTGCTATAGGCAGTAGATGACAAACTCTGTTCTACCCCATTTAATATATTTGGGCTATTTTTATTATATCTAAAGTGTCTCTGCCTCTTGCCTAGTCCATGAGTCAAGATGCTTCTCTCTAGAGGCAACTGTTATACTGATAAGGGCAAAAGCTTCAGTTGTGCCAATGTCACAAGATTCCTCAAAGGGCTGGATAGTGTCTTTCTAACTGTGTTAACATGGGGTCTCTGCTTAGTGCTAACAAAGTTAATGAATGAAGTTCTGGGGAGCACACCGCCTTCTACCTGTTGCTAACACCATTCATAATCTTTGCAATATCTTCAAGAAAAGGTGAGTTGGAGACCTCATTCCTGTGGAATGAGGTGATAGGAGAATCAGCAGTTAAAGTTGTCCTGCACTGTTATCCAAATTTTCTACGAAGAGCAGTGTCTGAGTTTTACTTGGGCTAGACTGTTAATCTCCAGGTCTTCTTTCTGAAACCTTCACAGTATAGGCTGTGATGCCTTCTTGGTGTGGTCAGAACTGAGAGACACCATAATACCCCTTTGCCTTAGGAGAGAGAGATTTCCTGCTACTAAATTGTGTGTCAGCTCCATGACACGCCAGTCTGTTAGCCAGCCCAACAAACTCTTCAAAACTTTGCCATTCCTAACTTTGCCTTGCAGCGTAACTCTTGGTGTACTTCAGTTCCCGAGCTCTCCAGTAGCATCTCCTTGCAGCATGCAGCCCATGTCACTGTATGCCCACAGTAATACCAAGTCTGTCTCTAAAGAGACCGAATACACACCAACATGTTGGTTCAGTTGAGGATGCACACCTCACTTTAATATAACAGCACTGGGATTAATTTATAATAAAACAAGAAGAATTTTATTAGTAAAGAACTGAGATTAAAGTAATACCAAGCAGAGATAATAGGAACAGAAAATAGTTACAAATAAAACAAATATAATCACACTTTCTAGTAAAACTGAACAGGTTACAATCCTTGTCTACAGCAGTTTTTTCACCCACAGCCACTTAGTGTCACTAACACCACATGGTTGAGGATCCACTGTTAATGGAATGCAAAGAGCACAGACCTCTTCGTTATCCATTACTAAGGGAACAAGATGCCCTTTTGGTTCTTATATTTCCCAAAGTTCATTGTCTTTGCCTCAAGAGTCAGGATGACCTCCTGGAGTTCGGACTGTGGGGTGTCCATAGTGCTGACACTATGCTTTCTATCATCCTCTTGATAACTGGTGTTTACCTCAGATGCAAATGAACTGCCCATTGATTCTTACATTAGAGATGCAGGTGAATAGACATTCCTTTGTCTAGGACAAACTTGTTTATCATATCTCCTCCTCCTCCCCCCCCAACATATTTCCAGCGGACATACATAAGTCTTTACACAATAATGACTGGTGTCACCAGCTTTCATTTGATACTTCACATCGCACGCTTTACAGATAAATACAGTGACAACAATGTGTTAGTGGTCGTGAATGTGTCAAGCCTGGTAAGAGTTGCAGTATAGTGGGCTTCCATCAGTTGTCATTGAAGGGCTCTTAGGTCATATTAGTGTGCAACAGTTCTCCAAAAACAGCCATATTTTTTTTAGTTTAATATAGCCACCCTACACGCCCATATAGTATATCATTAGAATGCTTGTCGTATGTATGTTTAGATGAGGTATAATGTGGTGCTGTAAGCCTGTAGGCGAGGTGAAACAGTGGTATCCAAAGTGAGTGTCACTTTTTGCTTCGTTAAGAACAACATAAAATATAATGTAAGAATGGCCATACTGGGTCAGACCAAAGGTCCATCTAGCCCAGTATCCTGTCTTCCAACAGTGGCCAATGCCAAGTGCTTCAGAGGGAATGAACGGAATAGGTAATCATCAAGTGATCCAAGTCGTCACCCATTCCCAGCTTCTGGCAAACAAAGGCGAGGGACACCTTCCCTGCCCATTCTGGCTAATAGCCATTGATGGACCGATCCTCCATGAATTTATCTAGTTCTTTTTTTAACCCTGTTTGGTCTTTGTCTTCACAACATCCTCTGGCAAAGAGTTCCACATGTTGACTGTGCATTGTGTGAAGAAATACTGCCTTTTGTTAGTTTTAAACCTGCTGCCTGTTCATTTTATTTGACCCCTAGTTTTTGTGTTATGAGAAGGGATAAATAACACTTCCTTATTCCCCAGTCATGATTATATACACCTTTTATAGTTCTAGAAACACATTATTTTTCTGTTTTTTTCCTTAATGCTTTAAAGTCCTCAAACAGCTAATTTATTTGCTTGAAATTTGGTCAAATTGAATGGTGTGTTGCTAACTGCTATACTATTAACTTATTGTGTTTCTGAATGTTTGGCTTTATTAATAGGGTAAGCAAAACATGAATCTGCTGCCAGCATCACAAATGGATTTTCTTGGTCTTCTGTCCTTGGCTTCAAAATATTAGTATAATTTACAGTTGGATTCAATTACTCACAGATTGTTTCTGTGCAGTGCCTTTCTTTGTAATATAGATGAGATCAAATGAGAAAAACAGATTGTCGAATGTTTTTGCAATATTGAGAGGGATCTGACTTGTTTCATGTTGCATGTCTTTAAGAAAAGGCTGCTTTGAAGGGATGTAAAGGTGTACGTAAAATGTACAGGCTTAACTAGAACATACTTCTAAAAATAGAAATGGGAACTTTACATGAACACAATTCTGTATGCTGCTAATTGTTTAGCTAAACCAAATTCAGCAATTGATTGACTTTTTTTTTCAAAAATTTTATAGCAGTGCCTAGAGACCTCAACCAGGCGCTGTACAAATACATAGTAAGAGACCGTTTCTGCCCTGTTGACAATCTAGATAGGCAAAGGTGGGAGAGGATACAACCACCACAGGGTGAACTGAATTTCTCAGTGTCATAGAGTAGGTCAGTGGTAGGGTTGGGAATAGAACCCAAGTCTTCTGAATCAGTCTGGCCCCCGACTGTATTTGTGCCTCTAAAATTATAGTCTGCCCAGCTGACTATGCTGATTCCACTCTCCAGACACGCTCTGGCCTGGAGTAGACAGGAGATATTGGATCTCCCAGGCCTGTGGAGAGAAGAGGCTATGCAGGCACAGCTATGAACCAGCTGTAGAAATGTGGACATCTGTAAGCCGATTGCATGCGGAATGCAAGAGAAGGCGTGTGACTGGAATCTGTAGCAGTGCTGCATGAAAGCAAAGGAACAGTGTCGGGTATATCAGAAGGCTAGGGAGGTCAACAGTCAATCTGGTGCTGAGCTGCAGACCTACTGCTTTTAAAACGAGCTTCACGCAATACTTGGCAGAGACGAGACAACCCCCTTCCCCCCCCACATTCCACTGTTGATACCTCTGAGGAGCCAGAGTCACAGGCCCATGAACAGCGAGAACAAGGAAAAGGAGGATGGAGGACATGCAACTGAGGTGTCCATCTATGTCACGAGCTAGGACCTGTTTGAGACTCCATCATAGTCCAGTCAGTCCTGGCAGTCGATCATGGATGAGCCTGAAGCAGGGGAAGGAACTAAGGGTAAGTATGTAAATGTATTTCCCTTTACAGTGGTGTACTAATAGCACCTCCAATTTAAGAGGGCACAGCTATTGACTTTTCATAAATTTACTTGAAGTAGAAGAGGTAGTTGCATAACAGAGAGGTAGATTTATTATTTTATTTATTCTACCCCTGTAGAGTTGGGGAGGGGTGTGTGTGTGTGAGAGAGAGAGGCATGTGAAGCAATTTGTTTATGTATGCGGGATGTCACTTGAATCCTTCTGAATGATCTTGATTAAACGTTCACAGAGATACTCCGCAGTCCTCTCCAGAAGGTTCCTAGGGATGGCAAGAGCCTTATTCCTTCCTCTGTGATACGACACTTTCCCACGCCCGTCAGTGGTGACTTCAGCAGGAGCCATTGCAGTAAAAGGGTAGTGGCATACAGACCTAGATGGCTTAAGGATGGCAGCAGCTGCTGTGCTCTCCATGCCTTTGTCATTCTCAAGAGTGAAATATCTGTTAAAATCACCACTACCTGTGGAAAATGGTGCGAGTATTCAGTGCCACCGCCCTATGCTCATAATTTCATGTTGCCAAGGAATTCCCTCTTCATTTCCCTGGTGCTGTGAGTGGAACCATGCACCAGCACTGTGAAGCAGAAGTGTCAGTAAGCCCTCCCACCTCCCAAGCGCCAGGTTGCCACCCCAGGCCACCCTTGGCTGCTGGCAGGCCGGAGCTACAGGCCACCGGCTGGAGCTGAGCACCCCTGGTGGCTTAAGGGTAGGGGGGGAGGGAGAGTGGGCAGGGCCATGGCTTGGCTCAGGGGAGGCTTAGCCTGCTTTGGCTTTCAATACCCATCGCCTATGTCTGAATCTTAACTTTCCCTTTCTATGTGACTATACTGATAATGTTAGGTTTCAGAGTAGCAGCCGTGTTAGTCTGTATTTGCAAAAAGAAAAGGAGGACTTGTGGCACCTTAAAGACTAACAAATTTATTTGAGCATAAGCTTTCGTGAGCTTATGCTCAAATAAATTTGTTAGTCTGTAAGGTGCCACAAGTACTCCTTTTCTTTATACTGATAATGATACCATTATATATTTTATCTGTAACTGCTGCCGTTACAGCCTTGAGAGTTCCCCCTTCATAGATTTGAGCCAAATAAGGAAGATCCTCATGTTTAGCAAGATCCTGCAAGCAAGTGCTGTGTCACACCATGAGCAGAGGGCCTGGAGGGTGAATATTACAAACTATACGGAGAAGTTTGAATTGTATGAAAGCACAGATAGGCTCAGGAGTCCCAGCAGAAAAAGGAGAGGGAGATGCACCAGAACATAATGGCTTTTGGCAGCAAACACAGATGCTGAAGACTCTTGTGGACCCAGAGGTTCAACAGTCAAAAGCTCACCTCCCTTTGCAGTTAATGGAAAATGCCATTATAACATCTCCCTCCACCTCCCTTCCCCCCTCCCCCAACTATTCCACCTGGCATCTGGGACTGCATCCCTACCCCTACCAGTCCACCCGGGAGGACATTAAGGACAGCCATAGCGTCAAGTACACTGATATGCGAGAGCCACAGTTGCTGTATGTGTAGCTAAAATGGACATGAATGTTCTTTCCCTTTCATACACTCTCTGCCATAAATTTATTAAGTTTTTGATGTATTTGCTTTTGACATGCATGGAATTTTTTCTGCAAAGATTTTGTTACTCAGTAAATTTCTGTTTTGGAAAATAATTCATATTTAATAATTCCCAGCATTTGCTGCAGAATACCTAGTAATGCTGAACGTACCCACTCAATTCTTGTTGTACAGTGACACAACTAAATAGGATCAGTGGGGAAAAAAAGTGTAATAATCAAATGTACAAGAAGCACCACAAAACTAATGGGTTCATTGACAGTGCTATATTCATAGATGTACACCAAGCACCACACAATTCCGAACAGGTCCCAAGACAGCAGGGTCAGGTAGAGTACAGTACACAATGCATTTACTGTGGCTCACTGTTAAACTACTGTTTCAGAGCCTCCCTGAGCTGCATAGCTCCATGCTGAGCTCCTCTAATAGCCCTTGTGTCTGGCTGCTCAAACTCAGCAGACAGATGCTCCTCTTCCACCTCCACCCTGGTGACAACTTTTCCCTGTTTGCTTCACAGATATTATGCAGGATACATCAGGCAGCTATAACCTTTGGGTTTGGGTTGTGTTTTTTTTTTTTGACTGAAATCCAATCTTGTGAGTAAGCAATGCCAGCATACCTTCAGTCTGCTCATACGCGCTCGTGCACATTCATGCACTGGTATAAGGGCCCCAGCCAGCTCTGCACCCTCTCAGTTCCTTCTTGCTGCCTGTGACTGTCACTGGAACAGCTCCTCTTGCTTTGGCATACTCCTATTCAGGGATCTTAGTTCTTTTCCCTTGTTTCTGTATACCCAGTACTTTATTTTTCTTAACTTGGGCTGTTGTAGATTAGTTGTATGTAGTTGGTTGGCACTTCTTGCTCTGTTATAGGAGTTTCGTCTGCTCCCAGTGCCAGGAGATTCTTCGGTCCTGGGTTTCAAGCCCTGTGCCTCCTGCAGCAAGCCTACGGCTGTGAGTGACCCGCACTCCAGTTGTCTAAAGTGCCTGGGACAGACTCAGATCAGGGACTGCTGCCCGATCTGTTGGGACTTCAAGCCCCATATGAAGGACAGGGAGGTCAGGTTCAAGTCCCTCCTGATAGAGGCAGCACGCCGTCCCTCATTGGAGCCAAGCTTGTCTAACTCAGCACCCAGTACCTCCATGTTGGTGCAGAGGGCTCCTTCCACTGTGAGAGTCTCTCAGCACTGTTCTCCTTTACTGGTATTGGGGAAAAAACCTATAAGAAGCAGCTGGCTGAGACAGGACATTAAAAAGAGCCAAGCATGGGATGCGCAGTGGAGTACGACCTGATTTTGACCACTCCTTTGCCTCTGCTCCAAGTGCAGCATCCTTGAATCCACCTCATATGCAGGCTCCATAGAGTCCAGTCCTGGACCATCCCATATCACTTCAAATATATGGAGACACTTACATTGGCGGGCGCCAAATTTAAGTGAAGACACACTCTCATTGCTAGGTTGATAAAAGGCAGCTTATGTCAACCTCACTGTGCAGTGTAGACCAGACTTGTGTTATGAATTCTTGCAGTTTGATTAAGTTTGCCGTGCACTGTAATTGGCAGAGCTATAGGCCCAGTTAACTTCGGTTTCTACATTAGCAGAAGCTAATGTAGAACCTAATGCAGAACGACTGGCAGCGGAAAGTTGTCTTTTTTTATTAGGGATATTTGGATCAATGAGTGTATGGACCACTCTGGATATAACAGCAATGATTCAGGTATGAAAAGGATGAGTTAAAATTTTTGAGACAACAATGACACTTTATTTCACAAAACAAAAATCTATTTTAAACTACAGATTTTGCTTTTTTGGTGCTTCTCAATCCATTTTCAAATATCTGTGACAGGATCACCACTTTAAAGTATTGCCAATATTTACACAAATGACAATCTCCGTTTGGCTTTTAGTTTTAATCCTAGATGGCTTCACTTTGAATTTTTTTAAATGATGTGCAGTTCAAGTTGCAAGTGGGTTGTAGAGTTAAAGATCTCTTTAAAAGAAAACTGTCTTCAACATTGTTTTGGGGAACATGTTAGCTTTTTAACCATTTTTAGACACTTCTGATAAAATTGTAATTCACGACTTTGAAACTCTTTCTAATGCCTATCTGTGAACCAGTAAAATGAAGAAAATTGGCAGTTTACACACACTCTGGGTGTATATGTACCTTACCAACAAAATATAAATTACATATAGGAGGTGATTGCTGACTTTAAATTTTTGAACTATTCTATATATTTTTCCAGGTTGGGGCTTTGACTTTTCTTCCATTAAGGAGAAAAGTGTAGGATGCATGCTGTGCCTTATAGCTATTATTTCTCAAAACTATCATTTTATTTGTCATGTTTCTCCTAATACTAGCTTCCAGCCAGATAGTCAGTCATCTGTGCATCAAATGGCAGAATACCCTACTGCTGATCCACACTGCCACCAATAAAATTAATCTGTTTCTAGAGCTGGACAGAATTTAAATTATTATTCATGTTGGTTGCGTGTTTCGTTTGCACTGGAACTACGCACTGACCCTAGAGGATCAGTTAGGCTGGAGTAGTGAATGTCTACGCTACAGTTAAACGCCATTGGTTGGCCCATGTCAGTTGAGTTGGGCTCAGGCTCCAGGGCAGTTTAATTGCAGTGTAGATGTTCGGGTTTGGGTTGGAGCCTGGGCTCTGGAACCTTCCTCCTTCCCAGGGTTCCAGAACCTGGGCTTCGGTTTGAGCCTGAACATCTGTTTTGCAGTTAAACAGCCCTGGAGCCTGAGCCTGAGTCAGCTGACAGGAGCCAGCCATCTGTATTTAATTGCAGTGTAGACATACACTTAGAGCTGCTTTTATTTTTAGTCTGAGTCTTTAGAAGATAAAAATAAGAAGCCACTCTATGAACATTCACTGGAAAGCATAATGTGTATATAAAAGGAAATCTCTTGCATTGAATTGCAAAACTGTACTCTTCAACACCAGTTATAGCTGGCCCCAGTCCTGCAGTGCATTGCATGTGAGCCTGCCACTGCACCCTCACAGCCCCACTGAAGTCAGTGTTGCTCCTCCTAGATGTATCTCCGTTTTCCCACACAGTAAAGTATGGTATCAGGTAGTCTGTGACTAATTTGCCATCATAAGATATTGCATAGGACAAATAGAAAATAGTACAAGTAATGTGCTTTAGTAATATCGATGCTGTTCTGGATAGCTTTGTGCTATCCTAGTATAACCATTAATAGTCACTGTGATTATATAGCTGTACTAGACATTTCTTAATTTCCCGCTTGTGCTCCTGCTGGTGCTGCTCTATCGGTGGTAGCAACAATGGGGATTTGTCACAGGGTGGCTGGCCCCTTTTAAATTAGGGGGGCCCACCATCCTGATGTTCACAGTCTGGCCAATTAGGACAGC